GGTCGCTTATCAAGAGTGCTTTGCATTCTACTGGCTTAGTTAGTTGTGGTCTGACACGTCGCGCCGTGACACCCTGGATCTCTGCAGAGTCTCTACGCCTTCTTGACGCACGTCGGTCGATTCCGACCGGCAACGAGCAAACACGACTCGTAACGAGACGTGAACTAAACGCAAGCCTACGCAGAAACCACGAGATCTGGTGGTCTCAACGCGCATCAGAGATGGAACGTGCTGCCACCATGGGAAATTCCCGTAAGCTGTTCCATTTCATCCGGGTCACCGGTAGGAAAGCCTTAGGTGTGAGCGAAACGATCTGCGAAGCTGACGGTTCGCCCATTCATAACCAACAGCGACGCCTTGAACGCTGGACGGAGCACTTCGAAGCTCAATTTCGCTGGTCACCCGCGCCAGCTTCTCACACAGCTATTCCGGCAAACGCCCCATGGTCTGTTTAAACAGACCCACCTTCTGAGGCGGAAATCCAAGCCTTGGGACGACACAAAGCACCGGGCTCCGATGGCTTCCCCCCTGCTCTATTTAAAGATGGCGGAATAAAGCTTGTTAGAGAACTACAAGTTCTGTTCGCTAAAGTGTCGTACACTGAGCAAGTCCCCTCCTCGTGGGGGGAATCAACTGTCGTCCCCATCTTCAAAAAGGGCTCGCGCAATGACTGCGCCAATCATAGGGGTATAAGCCTTATCCCGATAGCGTCAAAGCTGTTGGCGTCCGTCATTCTCCGCTGATTGTACACTACGCGTGAGGAGCAGGCTGGATTTCGTGGCGGTCGTGGATGCATCGATCAAATCTTCACCCTCCGACAGCTGCTAGAGCACCGTCATGCTTATCAAAGACCAACGATCATTGTATTCTTAGACATCCGCACGGCCTTCGACACTGTCGATAGGACCGCACAATGGAACTGTTTGTTGAGGAGTGGAGTACCTGAGAAGTATGTGTCGATCCTCAAAGAGTTGTATCGTCATACCTCAGGTCGGATTAGGGCTTATGGCCAGCTTTCGCCACTCTTTGCCGTCTCCAGTGGAGTTCGACAAGGTTGCCCCATATCCCCATTTCTTTTCAACTTTGTCATAGAGGATGTTCTACAGAATACTTTGTCCGGTCTAGCACACGGTGGAGTCGAACTCCTCCCAGGGAACGGATTTCTTGACTTAGAATACGCCGATGACATCGCCTTGCTTGGTGACAACACAGGCAGTGCAAAACGCTTTGAACAGCTTGGCGATAGAGGTATCCAGGTATGGTATGTGCTTTCAACCATCAAAATGCAAAGTGCTGGTACAGCACTGGCAGGAGCCTGTGCCTGCATTCACCATCTGTGGTGATCGAGAGCTTTAAGTACCTCGGGAGCTTGATTGTGGCTGGTGGTGGTGTTGGGGACGAGATCACATAACGAATAGCGAAAGATAGAGCGGCTTTCGTCAACCTGCGACACCTGAGGCGCCGCCATGGCATCCGACTGTCCCTTAAGGGAAGGGTGTACATCGCCGCGGTTCGTAGCGTTCTCCTTTACGGTTGCGAGACCTGACCCCTCCGCGTTGAGGATGCTAATCGACTTTCTGTATTTGACCACCGATGTCTCCGAAGCGTTGCTCGTGTCTGGTGGGAACACCGGGTGAGCAATGACGAGGTCCGT